ATGGATGTGTCTGTGCAGGGTGTTGGTGGTGTTGGTGTGTGTAGAGGGTGGATGGATGTGTCTGTGTAGGATGTTGGTGTGTTGGTGGATATAGAGGGGCGGATGGACATTTCTGTGCAGGGTGTTGGTGGTTACGAGGGCACCCTGGCCTAGGGAACCTGCTGGTCTAGACTTCTGATTCAGCTGGTGATGGGGTGAGAACCTCTCACGCCAGCCCCAGGAGGGGAAGACCCTGTGTTGATGGTGTTGGTGGGTGTAGAGGGGGGGATGGATGTGTCTGTGAAGGGTGTTGACGGTGTTGGTGGGTGTAGAGCAGGGGATGGACATGTCCGTGCACAGTGTTGGTGGTGTTGGTGGGTGTAGGGGGGGGGATGGATGTGTCTGTGAAGGGTGTTGACGGTGTTGGTGGGTGTAGAGCGGGGGATGGACATGTCCGTGCACAGTGTTGGTGGTGTTGGTGGGTGTAGGGGGGGGGATGGATGTGTCTGTGCAGGGTGTTGGTGGTGTTGGTGTGTGTAGAGGGTGGATGGATGTGTCTGTGTAGGATGTTGGTGTGTTGGTGGATATAGAGGGGCGGATGGACATTTCTGTGCAGGGTGTTGGTGGTTACGAGGGCACCCTGGCCTAGGGAACCTGCTGGTCTAGACTTCTGATTCAGCTGGTGATGGGGTGAGAACCTCTCTCGCCAGCCCCAGCACCAGGAGGGGAAGACCCTGTGTTGATGGTGTTGGTGGGTGTAGAGGGTGGATGGATATTTCTGTGCAGGGTGTTGATGGCGTTGGTGGGTGTAGAGGGGTGGATAGATGTTTCTGTGTAGGGTATTGGTTAGTGAAGAGGGTGGATGGTTGTTTCTATGTAGGGTTTTGGTTGTGTTGGTGGGTGTAGAAGGTGGATGGATGTGTCTGCGTAGGATGTCAATGGTGGTGGGTATAGAGGGTGGATGGATGTGTCTGTGTAGGATGTTGGTGTGTTTGGTGGGTATAGAAGGGTGGATGGACGTTTCTGTGCAGGGTGTTGGTGGTTACAAGGGCACCCTGGCCTGGTTTAGGCTTCTGATTCAACTGGTAATGGGGTGAGAACCTCCCATGCCAGCCCCAGCACCGTGGTGGAGGGGAAGACCCTTCTTGGACCTCCTGGTTGTGCCCTGAGCATCCCAACACTTCTCCTGGTCTTAACTGCACGTCCCATCGAAGGACTGGTTGCTTGTTGATCTGTGGGTTACATGCTTGGGCTGCTCCCCTGAAACCTGACCATATCAAGAGCCACATTCGCCAGCCCCAGCACCAGGAGGGGAAGACCCTGTGTTGATGGTGTTGGTGGGTGTAGAGGGTGGATGGATATTTCTGTGCAGGGTGTTGATGGCGTTGGTGGGTGTAGAGGGGTGGATAGATGTTTCTGTGTAGGGTATTGGTTAGTGAAGAGGGTGGATGGTTGTTTCTATGTAGGGTTTTGGTTGTGTTGGTGGGTGTAGAAGGTGGATGGATGTGTCTGCGTAGGATGTCAATGGTGGTGGGTATAGAGGGTGGATGGATGTGTCTGTGTAGGATGTTGGTGTGTTTGGTGGGTATAGAAGGGTGGATGGACGTTTCTGTGCAGGGTGTTGGTGGTTACAAGGGCACCCTGGCCTGGTTTAGGCTTCTGATTCAACTGGTAATGGGGTGAGAACCTCCCATGCCAGCCCCAGCACCGTGGTGGAGGGGAAGACCCTTCTTGGACCTCCTGGTTGTGCCCTGAGCATCCCAACACTTCTCCTGGTCTTAACTGCACGTCCCATCGAAGGACTGGTTGCTTGTTGATCTGTGGGTTACATGCTTGGGCTGCTCCCCTGAAACCTGACCATATCAAGAGCCACATAGATCTGGAGAAACGCTTCTCCCAAGCCCTGCGGTCCAGTTTCTCTGGTCAGAAAGAGCTCCTGCTGGTTGTTCTGACAGGGAACGGCTCGTGCCAGGGGCTGGGAAAAGAGAGGCTCTAGGTGAAATCCCAATTGTGACGCCGTGGGCTTTGAAACCATGACAGAAAATTTTCCTGCTCGCGTTTGTTCTCCTTGAGCTCCAGCTCGTTCACCAGGATGTTTTTCAAGGAGGGTCTGGTCAGTGTTGGCAGAGGAAAGTCTCTGATTTCCCAAGCGTGCTTATCGCTTTGGCCTTGACAACGATGGGAACTTTCAGCACTGGGCTTTTTTTGTTTCATTTAGAGGCAAACATGAGAAAGCCTGCCCTCGCCGGCAGCATTGTGCTGGTTTTCCTGTGTGCTGGATCACGCAAGACAGATAAAAGCTTCCCCCAAAATGTTGCTGGCTTTGCAGTTGTCGGACCTGGGCAAGTTGGGTGGGAGGAGGAGAAGGAGAAGTAATGTCTGAACTGAGCAAATCTTGCCGGTCAAAGAAAGTACCTGCCATCACTTGGGAAAAGGATTTTTGGTGTAGGATGAGCAATAAAACCTTGAGGATTATAAACAGCTCCCCAAGGCCGTGGGTTTGTGTCTGGAATCGAGCGGTGTTGGTGGGGTGATGGTATAGATCTATAGGGTGAGGTGGAGGCTGGCCGGACAGAAGCGGGTGGTGTTTGCCCCCTGCCCTCCCCTTCCTGGGGATACTCGGGTGGTTTGGGCTGAGGAGCAGGAGTGAGGAGCTCGTGCCTTAAGAAAGATGTATATTTTCAAAGTGCAAGATGTTTTAGATGTGGGTATCATTGTACTTGGGGGTTGGCTGGCAATGACGGGGTGCTCGTGGGGCAGCCTGAAAAAGCATGTGATGGAAGGATGGTGCTTAAATCCCTCCACTCCCCGGGAGACTCAAACCCCGGTGCTACCTCTTCCGTTAAAAATTTCCTTTGTGTCTTCAGAGCTTTGATTATTTTATATTGGGGTTTTCGTTATCCCTGTGTACGATCAAACTGGTTTTCTCTCTGTACGTGGAGCGCTGCTGGGTACTTGGTGAGGTCTGAGGAGGGAAGCACATGGCAGAGCATCTTCTGCTGCGGGAAGGTGGATTTTGGAGGAAACCAGGGGAGCTGGTGGCCCCCAGAGGTGTGCGGGTGTTCTGGAGAAGCTCAAGAACCAACATCACATACTGCACTATCCTTGCAAGCCTGAGGTTTTCTTCTAGTGTTACAGGGAAGTTTTGGAATACAAGGAATGCCCTCTTTAGTGTCATCCCCTTGTTCCTGGTAGAAATATTTGGGAAATCTCTTATTTGAAGGAATACAGTCAAAAAAAATAAAAAAAGCTTATTTATAAGGGCCCTGTCCCGTTGATGGGACTTATTTTCTTTAATGCTCAACCAACATGCATACAGGGTTAGGATGCATAAAAATGAACAGGAAATGAGTATATCTTGCTAACTGAAGGGTATGAATTTTAACTTTTGCTTACGGTACGTTAAAGCTGGACGTTTCATCAGCGTGAGGGTCTGGGGATGGTACCGACAGGCCAAGAGCGCAGGCCCTGCCGGCCGGCACGGCTGCTGCCCCCGACCCGGTCCCAAAAGGTGGCCTGGATTGATTAGGGCAGTGGTCAATAAGCTGGGAAGGTTCTGGAAGTGGCAGCAGAGCAGGATGCTGTGCCGTAGTGTTGGGGTTTTGGCTGCTGTCCCCCTCCCTGATTTCTCATGCGCGACAAAAGCCATCCCTACCTGCCGAGCAGGAGGCAGCCCAAACGCGGGGCGTTCCTACACCCAGCGAGGAGCTCTGGCTGCCTCTTGCAAGAAAATTGGAGCGTAACAGGCAGCAAGAAGGAAATTTGGTGCCTTTTCATTTTCAGCATTAAAAAAACCCATCGGCAAAACTGAGCAGTCTGAGTGTAAGCCTCGGGACTGATCGCCCTGACAGAAATACAGGGGTCAGTCGTGTGAGGTTGAGGATGAGTTGGCTTGAAATTTTCCTTTCCCCTCTGTTAAAAACAGGTGTAGGAGGAATTTTACTCACTTCCCTTTTCACAGAATCACAGAATGCTATGGGGTTGGAAGGGACCTCTGGAGATCATCCAGGCCAACCCCCTGCCAGAGCAGGTCCACCCAGAGCAGGTCCCACAGGAACGTGTCCAGGAGGGTTTGAATGTCTCCAGAGAAGGAGACTCCACCACCTCCCTGGGCAGCCTCTGCCAGGGCTCTGCCACCCTCACAGCAAAGAAGTTCCTCTTCACGTTTAGGTGGAACTTCTTATGTTCAAGTTTGTGCCCATTTCCTCTTGTCCTGTCCCTGGGCACCACTGAAAAAAGCCTGGCCCCATCCTCCTGACACCCACCCTTGAAGTATTTATAGGCGTTGATCAGATCCCCCCTCAGTCTTCTCTTCTCCAGACTAAAAAGACCCAAGTCCCTCAGCCTTTCCTCATCAGAGAGATGTTCTAGTCCCCTCATCATCTCTGTAGCCTCTGCTGTGCCCTCTCCAGCAGTTCCCTGTCCTTCTGCAACTGGGGGGCTCAGAACCGGACCCAGAGGAACTGGATCCCAGAGGATCCTTCAGGCTGCAGGCAGCACTGCTGGCCATGCATCTCCGAAACTGAACCAAGGTGGGACGTTGTCCATCTCCTCCATAGTTGCTTGGTCGCACCAGAGGCTCTCAAAAGCATTTATGAAGATGGGGACTCTGGATGTGTTTTAATGACTATGTAATGGCTGAGTGTTGAGGTGCCTTGTTCCAGGGACTGCAATTTCAGATTTCCTATCACAAATGCATTAATTCTCTTGCTTTGGCTGGTGTTTTTTGGCTGCCACCAGCCTATTCTTGGTGGCCATCAAGCCTGATCCCGTGGTTTAGGCTGCATTTCTTTCCCCTCCCCTTTCAGTGGAGTGCACTGAATCTGATGTCCACGTCTCCTGTATAGCATTTCCCAGGATTTGGACCTTTGGGTGCATGGGGAGCACTGGTCTGTCATACTGGAAGATGGGAGGATGCGGCTGGTTTCCATTCTGAGTCTCCAGCAGGCACGTGCTGGTGGAGCGGGGATGCTGCGGGGCGCAGAGACTGATGCTCCTGTTTCTCTTTTCTCTTTCCCCAGAGATCATCGACGACCTCACGAACCTGGTGGAAAACACAGATGACAGACTTCGCAACCAGACGCGGCACGTGAAGATGGTGGACAAGAAATCAACATCCTGCGGTAGGAAACAGCTCGAGCACGAATCCTGTGCTGTTATTAAACGATGAGGAGGTAGCTTAGTGCTCAGAGGCTGCGTGCAATGCGCTCCCCCCGAGGCCAGATTCTTTTAAAAGTTAAAAAAAAAAAAAAAACTCTCCAAACTTCTTCAGCTGCTGTTGCAGGTTGGACTCACGGTGTGTGTCGATACAGTTAATTTCCTTGAGCCATTTGACTCCGGTGTTGCACAATATTCTGATTGGAAATTGCAGAACTGTCTGAAATTAGAGCAGTGCGTGTTAATTAGCTTTAAAAAAACTTGCGAGCTACCAGCTCCCACAAACCAGTCCCAGCAGGGAGCGATGCCACGGGGACATTTCTGGTGGTGTCCTGCAGGAACGTGTTCTCAGCCAGCTGGTGGCCTGCCAGATGTGAAATCTTTGTGGGGACTCTTCTGGCTTTGTGCAAGGGGGTAAAGCTCAGTTTGTCTGCCTTCCCGTGCAGCCAAGGAGAGGTTTTAGATCTCAGGCACCAAGGTTTTCCCTCTATGGGGTGAAGAGCTGGGGGTTTGAGAGCGATGTGGGGCCAGGTTGGACAGGGCTTTGAGCAACCTGGTCTGGTGGGAGATGTCCCTGCCCAGGGCAGGGGGGTTGGAACTGGATGATCTTTAAGGTCCCTTCCAACCCAAACCATTCTATGATGCTGTGGGAGGATGCTGTGGGTGGTGGCAGAAAATATATTGGGAGGATGAGTGGCTGGGGATGAGGTCTATGGGGAGGTGGTGGCAGTGAGACACTTCTGGAAGTAGAATGTCCAGTTCTGGTGCCCATGGTACATTTTTTCCATAGTGGGAAACTCAAAATCCTAACAAGAATAATTTATGCTCTGTAGGAATTTGACTTATAGGCAGAAGCTAAAGAAATCTTGGTGTATGTAGTTTCATAAAGAGAAAGTCAAGAGCTGAACCGATGGTTTTTATCGGAGTCAGGTTGATGGTTGGACTAGATGATCTTAAATGTCCCTTCCAACCTGGGCAATTCTATGACTTGGTCATGGATCCATTTCTGGCTGGTGGGGAACTCTTTGTAGAGCAATGATCTAGCAGCAGAAGCGGGTGATCTCAGATGGCAATGAAATACTTTTCAAGCACTGAGGATGTATTTCAAGGATTTCTTTAGTTCTCCATCAGGGGCAATTTTTTGAAAATCTGATGAAAATCTGTGGCTTCTTCTGGAGAGCAAAGTTGACTTTTCAGAGGCGTTTGTCTCCAATTTCTCTCATACCAACTACAGGTAAAATCAGAGATGTGACTGCAGAGTTGGGCACTGGCTTTTTTATTTGAGGTCTTTAGTGTTGACACAAGATGAATTTAAGCTAAAAATAATTGCGCCTGAATGATGCTGAGTGCCCCTGTGTGCCTCTGGAGTCTTCCCTGAGGTTCTGAGGTTTCTGAGGAGCACAGGGAAGCACCATGGGGCAGGGAATCCCACTTCCCAGACACCTTCCCCCTCCCTAGGTGTTTCTCCCCCTTTTTAGGTTCCTCATGCACCCCCGGACGGTGTTGCTGGATAACGAGCCTGTCTCTTTAACACTGCAGCCCATACTGGCTGCACTGGGGAATGTGAGAGGAGGAGGAGGAGGAGGATGGGAGAGGGGAAGGCTGGGAGGCTCCTGGGCTGGATTCCTTGGGGGTGACCTCTCTCACCCTTTCCACATTGAAAAACATGTTTCTGCTGCCTCTCAGTGCCCGGTGCCTGGTCCCTCTGCTCCAATAGGGTTTCCTGTGTTTGCATAACAATTTGGGCATATGTAAACATGGTATTGCCTCAGATAACTGGTTTGCTCTGCCTGAGCAGGGCTTTTAGAACAATAATGCTGGGAGCCACAGGCTGTAATGGCATTCTTCCCGTCCCTTTGCCACCCTTACCCCTGGCGCTGGAAGTGAGCTCCTGTATTAAGATCAGAAGAACCCTCTGCGTGCGTAGAACAAAGCCAAGCAGTGGGAAAACTGGCACCTGCCAGGTCATTTCCCCATTTAAATTGATTAAACTCTTTGGTAACTCTTTGGTTTGGGTGCTGTTACTTTGGATTTCAATGGGGGTGAAGTGCTCGCTCTCCCCCCTTGCCCACCCCTCTGTTCCCCGGGATGCAGACCTTTGCTTGGATCCAGCCTCCGTGTTCCAGCGCGTGCCTGTTCCTGGGTTTTTTGCCTCCTTTTTGAAATCCTAATGTCTTTTTATTTCCCCCGACGAGTGCCTGCACTGGAGCCACTGGCTGTGGATGCAAGCGGAGCAGCCTGGCGTGAATAGTGGAATAATCACCCTTTTACGAGCAGGAATGTAACGCAGAACTGGGTGGGTCTTTGTTAGCAGCCAGTATAATAATAAAATCAAAGTATTGCTGATGAAATCCAACTTTAATCAATATTTCAACGTCTCGCTCTCATGCAAATGTTGTTTTGAGCTTTGGAGGTGGTTTAACACCACGGCTGTTGGTGCCACCGGCTGGGCACCGAGGCGCTGGGGACAGCAGCCCCTCCAGCTCTGTCCTGGCAGAAACCTTCAGGTTGTTTTGGGTGGGTTGTTTCATTTGCGGTTTATTTTTGGTGCCGTTTCTCTGGCTGACTCAGGAGCTGTTGACAATCCCATCCCTCGCTCCTGCCCAACCAGGGCTGCCCTGCTCAGAGCCTGTGGCCCTTGGTGGCCCCGGGCAGCCCTGCACTGGTGGCAGCGGGAACTCCCAGGGACTGCAGGGGAAGAAAAATCCTGGGATATACTGGAGTCTGCTGTGTTTGTGAAATTATTGTTGAAAATCATCAGTCCTCTGCGGGGAAGCGTTTGCACGCTGTTTGGCATTGCTGTATTGTTTTTCAGTGTGTGCTGGACGTAGAATCACAGAATGGTTTGGGTTGGAAGGGACCTTAAAGCCCCCCCAGTGCCACCCCCTGTCCCGAGCAGGGACACCTCCCACCACACCACGTTGCTCCAAGCCCCCTCCACCCTGCCCTTGAACCCCTCCAGGGATGGGGCAGCCACAGTTTCTCTGGGCAACCTGGGCCAGGCTCTCACCACCCTCACACCAAACAAGTTCTTTCTGAGATCTCAACTAAATCTCCCCTCTTTCAGATTAATTGCCATTCCCCCTCATCCTCTAGCTCCCCTCCCTGATCCAGAGTCCCTCCCCATCTCTCCTGGAGCCCCTTGAGGGACTGGAAGGGGCTCTGAGGTCTCCCTGGAGCCTTCTCTTCTCCAGGCTGAGCCCCCCCAACTCTCTCAGCCTGTCCTCACAGCAGAGGGGCTCCAGCCCTTGGAGCATCTTCATGGCTTCCTCTGGACCCGTTCCAACAGGTCCCTGTCCTTCCAGGCATTTAGGAAGGAAGATATATATATACATATATATATCTATATTTTAAATTTCAGAAATTCACATTGAGCTTTGACCAAAATGTGCACACAAATCATTACTCACATGTAAAGCTGCCTTTAACCAGATTTGCTGCAGGAACATCTGTGTGCACAATCCTGACTTCTCAGTTTTCCTCCTGGTTCTTTTGGGTTGGTCCCCACTCTCTCCCAGTTCTCTCCCAGTTTCCATACCTTTAGGGTGAGGTTTATATGTGCAGAGTAACACTCAGTAACCATTTCTCAAGAACTTCTTTATTAGAAATGTTAACCCTCAGAATATCCTCTTGAGAACTGCATTTACAAATAAGCATAGAAACGAAAGTGTAATTAAGGTTGAGATGCTGAGGGGGTGGGGGGGGGCAATGACACATGAATTTGCCCCAAACCAACTCTTGAGCTGCAACAACCTGATGAAGTGGCAAATGCCACAACACCTTAATGACAGAATACTCGGGATTCCTGCAGTATTTTCAGTTTTCCTGGGTCGGGATGACCTGGCTGGGATCCCACCCAGTCCAATTCCAATCGGCAAAAATTCCCACATTTTCTAAAACTCTTCAAAATGCCCAATTTTGAAAAAAATAGACATTCTTTAAAGGCAAACGACTGTCCTGAAATGAGTAGTACTGTCAGACTCTCAGCACTTCTGTTGTTTGGGTTCATGGTGTGGCTCCCGTGGGGTTTTCCATCCTCTCTTGCCCCGAGGGGGCTCCAGTGTCAGCTCATCCTTAGTGTCCCTGACACCCATCCTGAGAGTCTCCTGGTCCCCAGCCTTTGGCATCTCGGGCAATTCTGAGTAAGTAGGTGCAGGTTTGGGGTGGGGGATCCCAAAACAGGGCGGCTCAGCCCGATATGCAGTTCTGTGGGTTGGGTTTATTTCTCTCCATCATCAGGCTCAAGCATTTTAGGACTAGGCTGGAGTCTGCAAAGAGCCTGTGGGTCTTTCTCCCGGCCCATGGGTCGCAGTTGGCCTTGTCACAGAGGAGAAAGTCTCTCGTTTACCTGGATGGTGCTTTTTGGTGACTTTCCCCCATCCTTGAGCTGTGTAGATTATTTGTTGTTGTTTCTTTTTCACCTAAAGCCGCAAGTAGGCAGCTCCTTGCAGAGGGGATGGTTAAACCAGGCTGTGTTTGTGGTAAGAGCATCCTGAAGTGTTTGTGCCCGAAGGAGATGCGGGGATTTTAGTAACCCAGGACACAGCTGGGAGCCTAATTATCCTAATTATCCCATGCGACCTATGCAGAGGCAGTGGCAGCCAAGCTATGCAATGGATGGAGTCAGAAATGTTCCTAAGGTCCTGCTCAAGCAGACCAGGAATTGGGGAGGGGATCTGGGGGATCGGTGTGGTCCTGCTCCTCATCCTGCCCAAATCACTCTTTTTGGTGGCCCACTCTTTGGTGGAGAAAGGCTGGTTTCCTGGGGAAGCAACACAAAAGATTATGACTTTTTCTTAGTGAAAACGAGCCAAAAAGAGCAAACTTTCCTTCCTGACAGATTTATCCATCCAGCATCAGGGAAGCAGACCGTGTCTTTGCAGTTATCTCTGTCCTCACCCCTCTAAGCTTCCAGATAGAGGAGGCAAACGAGAAGCACCCACCCAGTGTTCCCTGCTGGGCTGGT